GGTGGACCAGCCTTCTTCGGAGGATGTAAGTGAAATGATACAAGTTGTATCATTTCACTTACATCCTCCGAAGAAGGCTGGTCCACCAGCCGAAACTGTTAGGATTAAATAAATATTTTATTGTTTTGTTTCCTATACTGCACTATTCTCGAAGTTTATATCTTTTATTACGGTAGCCGGAAGAAACTCTGATCATCTATTTCATCTATATATATATATATATATATATATATATATATATATATATATATATATATATATCGGCTAAGCGTAGGTCAGCTGATTACGTTCGCGTACCCTCTCTACCCGTTTTGTCAATCACCCGTGGCAGAGAGTTTTATTTATACCAATACAACGTTCTATACTATTACAACATGCATCCTGACGGTCCTGATCTGCTGCTGGTCATACCTACACACCTGCATCAGACCAGGGTTGTAGGCAGAATTTTTTTATTTTCGGGGGATGGGGGGCGACACCATTTGATCAAAGTGGGGGCCGGGCAGCCAAATGGTCCTTTTGCGCTACGTATGCATGTTGAAACAAATATTTCGATGAAAGGGGGTTGCACGGGCCCTGAGTGTTACCTCCTGGTGCTAGACACCTGCCTCAGATTGTTATCGCGCATTTGCAAGACATTCCTACCGCTGGTCATCTGGGCATCTCAAGGACTTAAGACCGTGTTTGACGTCGCTTCGTTTGACTGCTCCGTTTGTCGTTACGAGGCTTCGTGCAAATCATGGTAACGCAGATCACCGGCAAACCTTCTATCAGGGCTCCTTCAGCCCGTAGAGACATCATCTGAGCCATTGTACATGGTTACTCTCGACTTACTCGGTTTTTTCCCTGTGTTTATCAATGTAAATGAGTGGTGTTGCCACCGACTACATGACTTGGTCATCGGCGAAGCACGGTTACTAAGGTACTCTCCATTAACTCTTATCCCTAACTGTTCCCATTCTAGGCTTCTGAAAACCTCCTGTAAGCACGCGGTAAATAGCATTGGGTAAATTGTGTCCCCCTGCCTTACACCCTTCTTGATTGGTATTCTGTTGCTTTCTTTATGAAGCACTATGATAGCAGTTTATCCCCTGCAGATTTCTTCCAGGATGTTTATATATACTTCATCGACGCCCTGATTCCGCCCTGATTGCATTGCTGGGTAACTCAGGGGACGAATTGAAACTCATGATTACGGAGTTAGACAAGGAGAACAGAAAGGTGGGTCTTAAAATGAATCTGCAGAAAACGAAAGTAATGTACAACAACCTCGGGAAAGAGCAGCGCTTCGAGATAGGTAATAGTGCACTTCAAGTTGTAAAAGACTATGTCTATTCAGGGCAGGTAATAACCGCGGAGCCGAACCACGAGATTGAAGTAACTAGAAGAATAAGAATAGGGTGGAGCACATTTGGCAAGCACTCTCAAATTATGACAGGTAGATTGCCACTATCCCTCAAGAGGAAGGTATATAACAGCTGTATCTTGCCGGTACTTAGCTACGGAGCAGAAACCTGGAGACTTACAAAGAGGGTTCAGCTTAAATTGAGGACGACGCAGCGAGCTATGGAAAAAAAATGGTAGGTGTAACCTTAAGAGACAAGAAGAGAGCAGAGTGGATTAGGGAACAAACGGGGGTTAAGGATATCATAGCTGAAATCAAGAAGAAGAAATGGACATGGTTCGGGCATGTAGCACGTAGACAAGATAACCGTTGGTCGTTAAGGGTAACTAACTGGATTCCAAGAGAAGGCAAGCGGGTTGGCGGGAGACAGAAGGTTAGGTGGGCAGATGAGATTAATACCCGTGCCACACGGGCAGAGAAAATGGCATTTACTCCCGAATGCCTTCAGATTTATTGCCATTCGCGCGGTGCCACACGGGCGAACGAAATGGCATTCGTCCGAATGCCATTCGTCACCAAATGCCTTCGCCACAACTCAGTTGACTGAGAAATGCCTACTCTCGACGACACAGCTCGCGAAGTGCGATTTACTTTAAAGTAAATAAAACAAATCATATTCCGCTAAAATTAAAATTTCCTGTCTCTTATTTGCACTAAACTCCTAAAAAGTGCTTTGAACGTTATACGAAGATCAGGTTGAAATGGTTTAAATATAATTGAAGTTCAATTTCCTGAAACTGGCGCATAATAACTTGTCTCTGCTCCAGAATTATTCGCTCTTGAGCACGATGCTTTGCACGGAAACACACAAATGCTGCCGTGAAAAAATGAACTCTGCGAACATCTTCTGAGAGATGCAACTGGTGCGATGCGACAGGCGCCATTTCTATTTTTTTATCGCTCTTCGCCGAATGCTCACTTGGAAGGTGCTGCGATCGAGATCATGAAGTCAAATGTCATTCACTTTGGACGTGTAGCAGCGCCGCCAAAAAAATGTCATTCGGGAACTGAAGGCCTTCGCCACCGATTGTCATTTTCTATGCCCATGTGGCACGGGTATAAGAAATTTGCGGGTATAAATTTGCAGCAGCAAGCACAGGACCGGGTTAACTGGCGGAACATCCGAGAGGCCTTTGTCCTGCAGTGAACGTAGTCAGGCTGATGATGATGATAATGATGATGATGATGAAGACTCATATGCGATCACACGGGCTATCCTTGCCAGTTGTGTAACCGACGTCGCTGACTTTCTCCTCGAAGAAGTCATACTTCACCAAGGCGCTCCTTGACATCTCAAAATGGGGTCGATACTTTCTATCAAAGCCTTCCAGGACATTTTGCACTCTTGTGCAACAAAACACAAGCGTATCACCCGCAGATCAACAGCCTAACAGAGCGGCTCAACCGAACGCTTACAGGCATGCTCGCCATGTTTCACCAGATAATCGTCACTGGGACGAAGCTTTGGCATTTTCAACATTTGCCTACAACACGTCTCGACATGATTCTACAGGCTTCTCTCTATTTTTGCTCTCGTACAGACGAAAAACCACGCTGCCTTTCGACACGTTCAATCCTCCCTTTCTTAATGCGACATCAGAATACGCTTGTGACACCATCGATAGAGGTGCAGAGGCACGCAAAGCTACCTGCCTTCGTCTTAACACTTCGCAATAAAAGCAACGACGCGTCTACGATGCTCGCCACCACAAATCCTGGTGACGCGGTCCTTTGTTGGACACCGTCATGGCCTTTGCGAGAAGCTTACTTCTCCGTACTCTGGTTCATACCGAGTCTTGCGCCATGTCACAGACGTCACGGTTCCAAGTCGAGCCTCTGGAGACCACCACAGCACCATCATCTGATATCGTTTGCGTCATGCGACTAAAGCGGTACCACTCGGACCACTCGAGCACCGGGCCGTTGACTCAGTCGCCAAGGGTGATGCCACGAAGCGCTGTTGGAGATAGAGAGGAAGACAGCATACTGAGAGAAAACGACGTTCCCCGCCATTTGCGTGGACTTCGCTCTGTATGCCTGGCTCCAAATGTCTGTATATACCTTGCAAATATTGTGCAATGCCTTATCTCCCCGTAATAATATATACGCGGACAACATGTATGAATACAGCTTTCTGTAGTCTAACAAGATTTTAGGTTTGAAAGCTGACAGCCTAAATGAAAACTCCTATACAGATACAACATTTCACCTTTATTCACCTTATGTGTGAAATGCAACAAACGTATGCCTGCTTAGGTACAGTGGGTGGCGAAAGTATTCCCGCATTTCCACGAATTCAGATTGGAATCCCAGAGCTAAACTAAGCTTAATTCTACTTGAAACCTGCCCCTAAGGTAAACAGAAGCACTGAGATGAAATTTCGAAGGCGATGTAATGAGTCAGATGGATTTATATGGGGACGTACACAACGTCTAGCTACTAATAATCAAGGAAAAATATAGCCTAGAACATATATAAAATCGATTTCAATGTGCATGCCACGTAATTGAGCGAGATGCGGAGAACCTCACGGCGCCCATATCAACGCAGTGTCAGCGTAAACCACTCTATGCCACGATACAGTGCTTACAAGTCTATTCTATGTGTATTGCAGTCACGAGTTCGTATGCCTGGTCAGAATGGTGGCCGCTCGCACGCAGGGTGCCAAGCATAGGTCGGCAAACTCACTCATATGAGTCGACTCACTCGGACTCACTCAGATGACCCAGATCGAGCTGTGAGTCTAGTAAGTCCGGGTGAGCAATATTTTTGGTGAGTTTCAGTCCGGCTGAAGAAAATTTCCGTGAGTGTGAGTACGAGTGAGTCCGGCTCAGTAAAATGTTGGGGAGTCTGGGAGCGAGTGAGCCATATATATTATTCATGTGTGAGCTCCACAATAGTTGCCGACCTCAATGGTGCCAAGTCACAGTTTTGTATGATCACGTGGCCAGCTGGGTTTGTTGAGCCACCGAAACTGCTCCTGCCTAGGTCGACGTTTCTTGAAACCGAAGCTGCGCCTGTGCGGTCTAAAAACGTCTCTAACTAAATAACAGTCGCGCACTCGCGCAAACGAAGTTTCCATGATAAATGAGTCATATAAGCTTCTTAATTGCGACAACAAAAAAAGCAACGTTGAAAACTTTTGTGTCAGTGCTCCTTTAACATACATAAAAATGAACCCCCTCACCTCAGCCCAACCCCCGAAAAAAAATCTGGCTACGCTTCAAGCGTCACTCATTCTCCCTTTTTAGAAAAATATTGTGTTATTTAAGCAAAGGAAGGGGGGAGGCATGTGCTCGTGCATTAGCTCTTATAATTAAATACGACTCCAGATTGCCTGACATGCGAGGACACAGATCCTTGGTTTACGTTCTTGCTGGGATGTGAAGGTAAACCCGCCATGATGGTCTAAGACATTCGGCTGCTGCATGACCCGCAGGTCACAGGATCGAGTCCTGGCCATGGCGGCCTCATTTTTGATGGAGGCGAATATGCTTGAGGCCCATGCATGTGCTGAGATTTAGATGCACGAGAAGAACCCGAGGCGGTCAAAATTTCCGACTTCTATTAGACCATTGGCAAATGTGGGTCAATGTCATAAAGATGAAGCAATGATTTTATTGTACATGCATAGAGTGAGAAATGACAGCTGACAGACTGAAATAAATCACGCATACTATAAAGACGTCATAGGGCGCGATGTCATGGCATTGCAACTATAGTTTTGTTGCCTAGTGAATTTCTGTACATTCTTCAAACACTATCTTTATTTTACATAGTATAAATGGAATTGGCCATCCCACGGTGTCCTCAACCATGTCCTTCGATCTGACCACTTTAAAAATTAAAAGACTTCAGCGGCACGAGCGCGCTTCTATATGTACACACTACTTGATGACTGGCCTTGAACCTAATTTTTGTCACGAGGGTGACAGTCCAGTTGTCTGCATCTGCAAATAAAAAAATGAAAACGTATCTCCTCACGTCTATGCATGTTGCAACAAAATTATAGCCATACCAGTTCATCTCTTCGCTTCACGAAGTCTCTTAGAGGAGAAGAGCTTAAGTTCTGAGCCCTCGGTGCGTCCTACAAAAAGGAACGATAAAATAAGACAGATGTCCATGAAGACGCGCGACAACAAAGCGCTATCCAAATCACTTGCCTTTATCCAGCAATGTGCGAGGGCCTTACTGGCGGAGAGACGTTTCTGAGGGTCCACGGCCAATAGTTTCGATATAAGATCCTGCGAGTGTTCTGAGATGGATGCTGTGGTAGGTATGGTATACGCTGCAGCTACGATGTTCGCGCAGGTTTCATTTTCAGTGGCCCCCAGGAACGGCGAGAGGCCAACCAAGAACACGTGCAGCAGAACGCCTGTGCCCCTATACAGAGGAATCAATGTTTAATGGTCACCAGAGCATTGTTTTGTCAATGTCCAGCAGAAAAAGAAAAATGTATACCCTACCTAATGGACTATATCAAATTTTCTTTGGAATTTAAGCCACATGTTTATTGGAGAGCTTTGACGTCCCCCTAAAGCGGAATGACAGGTCAGTTTTTTGCCTCCTTTTGGCGATGACGAAGCATTCGCTTTCGTTAAGCCAGGAAGTCACGCTACACACTGCAGCACTGCTTCGCGTAGAGCGCGAAAGTAAAGCAAGCCAGTAAAAATAAATAATAAACCAAGAAAGAAAGTACTCAAGAAAAGAAGTAAACGCATTGGTGATCGAAAGCACGTATAAAAAGGGAAGTGAAAAATGGGAAGTGAGTGCGACAGCTGCTCGGCGCGACTGAACAACACTTGGGAGTAGCTTCGCTTTCATGAGGCGTAACCAGGCCCCGTGCACATCGCCTTCAACCGTGGAAGGAACATTTGTGCCATTGACGGCCTACATGTGCACTTGCTCAGCGCCCACAACGTTACTATTCTACCTTTTGCAAACTGGCGAAGTACTACGCATGTACGCATTACAATGGGTGGGCAGCCTTAAACCCCTCACTCGTTGCGTAATCCACTTGCTTCGATGCCTGGAACGATTCTGGCGCGCAAAATTACATGCGTTAAGGAGTCTCCGCCCACTACACGACATCCTTAGAGCGTGCTTTACGACTCACTTTCAGGAACCGGCGTGGCTCCGTAACAGGACACCTGTTTGCAACGTTGAACGTCCGGGTTTGATTCTGACCCGTACTAAACATCCTTTCTATTTATTATAGCGATAGCAATTTTATGGACGCTCTAGGCTGAATTTTGCCGCCGGCGTCAGCAAGCGCGTCATTCACCATGTATTCATACGTATCTACATAAATGTAAACGAAAGAAAAATAATCTAGAAAAAGACTCCGGCACGGAATGGAACGTCCAACCTCTTGCTTGCGAGGGCGGGGCGTTAGTGAGCCCCAAAGGAGGACTTCCTTTAACGTTGAAACGGCAAGCTACTTATATCCACCAATTACCGCTGGGGATGACAATCTCGGGGGAACTATCGTGTTTTCAGCATTACCAGCGAAATGGCGCAATGAGCGCGGGTCTCCTGGAGTAACTGTATGAACGTCGGTACTTTGCCCCGCGGGTGGGGAGAGGGGGCGTCGTGTGCGTGGTTATGTCGCCGTATGGAGAATCGTATGCCTTGGACTTTCACCGGAACGATTCTGTTGTGCGCACAAAGGTCACTGCACTCACTGCACTGTTTCCGTTTGCGAAAAGGGCACGCTTTTCAGACACCGCGAATGAACAACTGAGGCACTTATTGACGATCATCTGTACTTGTGATTACGTTTCGTGCGTAATTTGTGCGTGAGCAACACGAGGCACGTTTCGAACTGCTTGTCATTGTTCGCAGGGCATTCCAATTTGTTGCTATCACATTCATTGGTTCACCTTTATGGCAAAGCTGTGACTATTTATTTATTTATTCATTTATTTAATTAATTTATTTATTTGCATCTACCTCGAACTTGCGCTCATAATCAACGCCAATTTTTCGCTCGCTATATCGACGACGCTGGCGAACGAGCTCTTTAACGCGCTACATCGTTTATAATTTGAGTAACTTTTTAGAACAATCATTTGCGGTCACCGTTCATGATAAAAGCTACCCAGTAATTTATCTTGAGGTAATATTAGTGGCGTAACCAAAATATGTGGGGGTGGGGGGTAAGCCTTCCGTTTCTCCAAAATTCAAAACATCATGAACCCAAAATCTTTCTAGATTTTTTTAGAAATCTTTTTCTTTGTTTCGATTTTAGAAGACACTTCGGCGCGAGCATTGTCAACTCTGGCCGCATATGGCCCCACCACACATGCAGAGCACTGAGGCTTTTTAACTTAAATGCGGCAGTTTCAACGAGCAGGAGAAAATGCGTTGAGGAGGATGAGATAAATTGACGACACTTGCACTAAGTCATGCAACGCTTGAAAGAGCGAAACCGGATGATTCCGAAAACTAATATGATCGATTCCGGGTCGTTTCTCGGCCTCATATAGGTAGGCGATGCAGGTTGCTTCGATGTTGTTGCTAGGCTATAGTTAGGCGATGCCGTTTTTACGTTGATATAGAATATAGTGAGGTTCGAGTTAAGCCGCAGACAATAACAGACGAGACACGGCTGCACGAACTCCAGAGACAGACAATCGCGCTTAGACCAAGCGTTCGCATCTCTCATAGATCTGCTGGCACGACGTCGTTTGTTAACGTAGGCCTTCCATCACTTCGGCATCTTCTGGCAACCGCCGTTGCCTCTACCCTTCTCTAGCATTATCTAGTTGCACGTACATTCGGGGTCCTCGGTTCGCCGCCGTCGCCTCACAGCGATTTTTTGGACTAAATGTTGCCTCCTCCTTTTAGAGTGCACCAGTAGTAGTGTTTACCCGATTTCTGTCTGTCGGACATACCCTTTTATGATTGCAATAGTTTCTGGATCGACTCACAAGGGACAATTTGCTCAACGGCTCCGCTGTTAAAAAAACAGCTCTTCACTGCAAGCGACCAAACCCACAGCCTTCGCATTGTGCGTGCGGTATACAACTGCACCGTATGGCGGCATCCAGCTGTTCTCCCGAAGGAACGGCCACATATATTCGCTCCCCGTTGTTGCGCATCGCTGGCGGACTTTCAGCTCGCTGTCATGTCCAATAATTTCTTCATGGTCTCAAAGCTAACCATGCTAGACACTGCACAATCAAGCACCTTAATAGATGTTACATTTTGATGGCGTAATCAGCATTAAAAAATAAAAAAAACTACAGAACACTCTAAAACTGTGGTCTATTTAAGCTAACTTTCTTCATCCAAGTGTACGCTATGCAGGCACAGTTTTCAAAGAACACGATCTGAAAGGCAAAAGAAGCCAAGAACGCTTTTCACAATTCTAACGAGAATCTCACCAGAGGTCGGCGCGGGTGCTGAGAGGATAGTTTTTGAGCACCTCGGGCGCAACGAACTCGGCCGTTCCAATTACGGACATTTTGCACTCGGTTCCGAGCACTCTGCGGGCGTTACCGAAGTCAATCAGCTTCAGCCTGTCGCTGCATTCTTCCACAAGAAGATTTTCTGGCTGTAAAACAAAAATACGAGAAAACGAAACAGTAGGCGGCACTCGCGTCAACATTCTTCCCTATATCAAGACTCAAGCTTTTCAACGAACTTGTTCCATATATATCCTGACACCCCCTCCCACAACCCTCTTAATTAAAAAACTAAAAGAAGTTCACATGTGTGTTACATGCGCACATACAAAGACATGCACGCACACAGTACGTAAAGTTTAGTACAAGCCCCCCCCCCCCCCTGAAAGAACGAAACCTTTTCAGGATACGCCCCTGTTGGCATCAATCAAGTTAAACGAAACTTGAGCGTAGATATACAGTGTTCACTAACCTTTACATCAAGGTGCGCAATACCACAGAGGTGAATGTAGTCAAGAGCGCTGAGCAGCTGAGCCAAGTAATGCGACGCTGTGTGCTCACTGTAGAAGTTCCATTGCATGCAAACGTGATCGAAGAGCCGGAGTCCTTCAATGCTGTAGGATACAAAGCACAACGATTGTAATCCACCTTCTTCGTGTGCAGTCAGTGAAAGTACTTCTCCCTAGAACATCTTTCTGCACGTCAGAAGATTCAAAGGGCAAAGTAAACTGGCGCATGCATATACTGATGCTTAAACTCTGTAGACGCCAAGCTTGCTGGCAGGCATTTTCTGCAAGTATAGACAGTTTTCCGCAGCGGTGAACGGGCGCTGCCACGTTTGAACACGTGATCTAATAGCCTTCTCCTTTCCGCTTCTTCACCATCGCCAATGGCCGACCAATTCGCCGCCGCCTCTCCCAAGGCACTTCGCCGTGCTCCCGACCGGGCTGCAGAAATCAGGTGCCTTTCTTCTCTTCTAACCACTACCCCCCCCCCCTCTCCCGGGTCGAAGGCCAGCAAAGCGGGCGCAGCGTATAGTCCGCACCGCCCGTTTCTCTCTCTCTCTCTTTGTTTTATTTTTCTTATGACTGCGCCATGTCGCCTTATGGCCGACAGAAGTTAGGTGCCTTTCTCCTTCTTCAAGGATCACTACTACCACCGTTTCTCGCCGTAGGCTGCAGGGCAACGTCCGCCACATGCCACATCGTGGCCGCGCCACCGGGGAGAAGGCCATGGCGCTTCGGTGAGGTAGCGCCATCTAGCTTTGCATAAAGAAACTAGCTGCGGAAAACTGTCTATAACCAATAGCCTTGATAGACAAAAAAATGATTATTCCTGCAGGTTCGTGAAGCTCATGTTTATAAAGAACGATTGAATGCATTAGCTATCAGACACACGGCTTCAACGTGAAGTACTGCGCCAACAAAAGAGCACTAAGCCGCAGCTGCACACCTTAAAGGACCCCCCCCCCCAACCTCTTCCAGCGGATCTATATACTGCTCCTTAATTAGTCGTTTTCAACGTAATGTACCGATGAATACGAACAATGCTCTATTGCCTGTAAACGGTCATTACCGATAAAGTGCACAACTAACCTGCGTTCACACATCGTGATAATTTGGGCGCAAGATTACGTCAGAGATCATTTGCACGTGGGTCAACCAAATAAGAGGTCACTTTTAACAATGTGCAAGAACAAGTCATGCGATATGAAAGATTTGTAAACTTTATCCACAGTATTGACACTGTGAATAGCCTCAACTAAGTTACGTCATGGTATACCATGCCAGACAAAACTTCCGACCAAAAATAAGTCATGGCGCAAAACTTTGCGCCTGTAACGTACGTGCAATGCTGTCCTAAACTTTTTTAGTGCTGAAGTTCCAAAGATATTTTGACTAGGGTTGTGCGAGCAGTAAATTTTAGGCTCAAAGCCAGTTCGAATTCAATAGCGCTTTCTTCGAATAATTTCGAATGGAATAGTTCGAATAATGTATATCACATAACTTACACACACACTAACACACACACACACACACACTCACTCACTCACACACACACACACACACACACACACACACACATATATATATATATATATATATATATATATATATATATATATATATATATATATATATATATAATGTAATCTTATTGGTCACGACCCAACTAACCTGCGCAGCTTTTTAATTGAAATAAGGCACGTGTGAATGTAATTATTTCTGGTTCAAAATGAAGTGGAAGCAGCTTTGAATAGCAGAAGATTTTGAATTCCAGTAGGAAGCAAGTCGCAAGTCACAACCGGCAAAATACGCTACGCTTCAAAATTTACTATACTTACACCTGATAATGAAATGGAACCAACTTTATTTAAAACCTTCCGATTAGTGGCCGGGCCTAAACCACCCCGGTGGTCGCTATATGGTTTAGCCTTTCCCCCGCTCATCGGGCCCGCCGGATGGCCCAAACTTCGTCTTCAAGTTCTGAGCTAGCCAGAGCGTCGAGTCAACACGTCTCAAGGAGCTCCGGGTTTTGGCGATTGAAAAGATGGTAGTGTGCGGGCATTTCCAAAGAATGTGTTCTATGTCTGCGTACTCGTGTTTACACAGAATTAAACAGTGCGGATATTCTTTGATGAGGCGTTTTCACGGCATATCATTTCTATGGTGCAGAAAAACCAGCTTTACAAGAAGGTTAATATGCGATCATATATTTCCGCTCGTTCATTTCGAATACTTCGAAATTTCTAATTTAATTTCGCGTCGAAGCGAATGCGATTGTTGTGATATTGGTTCGAATACTTAATACCAGAATATTCACACTTGCCTAATTTCTTTTTGTAAAATATAAGAATGCCGTTAGGCTCACGACGTAAATCCCACGACGCACTGACGTCATTGTACGTATCAACATCACAGCAGTCGTCAGCGATGGCTGCAAAACTGTAGTATCCCGTGAAATGTTTGAATGTTTGCGTACCAGGCTGTTGTATCCATAGCTGATGAAAACGATGCACGAGGCACTTGCACGGTTGCCTTAGTTCTTAAATTTATTTATTGGACGTAATCAAGTGTGTCAGCTTGTCCGATTCGCGATAAACTTAGCAGAGAAATAATTAACTACAAGAAATAACTCATGCCTGAAATTGAACAGTCCGGAGGTTAAAAAATTGTCTTTTATTTCGCAATTGCAGATTGAAGTGTACAATACGTTGTGAAAACGTTATCAACATTCCGTGCGCCTCCCCACGTGACTAACCGCTATAGCGACAACGCCAACCTTGCACCCTATTACACGGAAGCCAAGCGCCTTTATTAGCTATAAAGTACTCGTGCAAGAGTTCTATCTCTCTTTTGTTCTATGCACAGGCACACTTACGAATGACTGGTAATGCACGATCAAGCAGCTTCAAAGTAACTGTCTGAATTTTCATGCGCAACGTGAATATCATCAAAGCAGACAGGCCTTTGTGTTACTTGCGAGCGAAACTTGTCATGCAGTGCCAAAACATAAAACCTCACGCACAATGGAAACACTAGGATGTGGCTGCTCGGCGTGCGGTAGCATTCGAGCAGCTCAACAATGCCTTCGTGATGAAGGCTAGTCAACAGCTGCCACTCGTGCTCCACAGTGGCGCGCGACTGCTGCTGGAAGCCGATAACCTTGGCTGCTGCCTGTGGACAGAGGAAGGCAAGCCCCGTGAACAAGGCGAGGAATTAGCGCTCTTCCAGTATTTTGTGCGATGTTTTCCCTGATTGGGCGTACACAGCATACTGATAAGATTTACAGCGATGGCGCATGTCTGAAGATACGCGGGACTGGAAACTAAACATCACCCCGTGTGCCGCGCAGTGACGCAATGTTCAAGAACTTAGGCAGCGCCTAAGAGCTCCCTGACTATTCACTTCGAGAAAGCTCAATGCTGTTATTGAGAACGTGCTTGGCTAATGACTATCCAAAATCGCAGCACGAGACTAATTAACGAGACGATAGAAAAGGAAGAGTTTTGACAATGGGCGAGTTGTCAGGGGCACCGCCAGGACTCATACCGGAGGGGGGGGGGGGGGGTGTACCCACGATAAGTGAGTTTCTTTAGGGAGTGGGGGCAGCAGGGAGGCGGGAAACTTGGCCATCGTGTTATGACTATGTTCCCTCTTGGGGGGCGACGGGAGAGGGAGGGCAGGTGAAGATATTGAGGGGCACCACACCACCCCTGCGAGCTTCAACTCACCCATTGTCACTTTACACACTATATGAGTAGCTTCTCTTGCTCACGAAAAAATAGAATGACGCTTAATTCTATAGCATTTGAGCCTTCTAATCAGCTTGCGATTCTCGGTGGACACCTGGACCGTGCAACGAGCAAGGGTCTGTGCGTTAGGATTTTTCTATTATTAATTCCCCGAAGGCACCAACTGAAATTATGGTTGAGAAATGCCCACTACGCCCGCCATGATTAATAATTTTTCACAAGTAGCCCTCCATATATGCTAAGGCATGCAGCACGCGCACACTCATAGTTGCACACTTTGTTGATGTTGTGGCTCATAATGATTATTACTAATTATCGCTGCGCCGTTTGTAATGACTGGCCAGCTTCAAACCACTCACTCGTTACGCAATTCGCACGTAGTGACGCCCGGTACAATTCTACTTTTCTAGCACGCAATATTAAATTTGTTAACAGGAGCCCGACACGACGACTGTGTACGTTTTTGTTTTTCGGAAGTAGTTAAAAACATTCGCGTGGCTCTGTGGGAGAACACGTGAATGAGAGCGTAAGTGCCCCGGTTGAATTTTGATTCCCATTCTTCGCATTCACCGTGATTTTTCGCTCACAAACAACGCCAGCGACACCGCACTTTCTGAGTAAAGGAATCTGCAGAATACTCTCAGGTTACTAGTATGCTAAGAGATACTTTTAGATACTTTTGAGGAGTTCAAAATAGAGGAAAGGAGCTTACCCTTTCGCCCGTTGCGTTGTGGATGCATTTTTTCACGACAGAAAACCGTCCCCTGAAACAGCAAGTATAACAAAAAAAACTTCGACCGGATCATCGAACGAACACGTTGCGTTAGCTCAAATATAAAACCATCGAATTCGCAACCAACATCGCTTGTTACATAAAAAGAAATGTTACCGGTGCTGAATAAACAACGTGTACGCACAGTGCGGCGGAATAATATAAAAGCTTGCCTTCCACACTCTCCCACTTCGACGTACTCGGAAAAGTTCTTCTTCCATTCGACCACACCAGAGTGGGATTTTGCTGTGTCCCCTGCGCCAGAAAACGAGCGCGAAGCTTTATTTGACAAGTCGTAAATGGGAAGCCCGCCGAGTGTACCATAATAGAAGCAGCTTGAATTCCACGAACAACGTTGCTTCTCATGCGTATACTTTGGTGCGAACCAGATATTTTATCATTCAACACCGCAATGACGCTTTTTCGTTAGCCCAGATTATGCATGCAAACATAGCAAAATTGGTGGCAGGAAGGTGCATAAGAATTAATTGGAAAGCGATCAAACCTGAGCCGCCTCAGCTTGGAGCAACCACGTATTCGCTCTAAACAGAAGAGCGTTTCCGTTATATATCTTCAGAGGTGCATGCCATGACGACAATGCATGGTGCATCCGTGGGTAGATACTTTAATCCGGAATCACCCAAGCACGTTTTATGCAATAGGACTGATTTGACGACTGTTTCTTCTCTATAGCTTTTTGATTTTTCTCTCGCTATCACACAGCAGGTTGTGACGTCCTCTGCCCAGACGGGCAGCTTCAATACGATGTTCTTCACACCCACCATGAATCACTTTACCTCTTCAAATAGCTTGCTATCTTTTTTTTTAATGCACTCACTGGCCGATGAAGGCAAGCCCACGCACCTGTAACCGTAATTGGGTCAGAAGATGGACCCGGATTGCTCGTTCCCAATTCCGAATAGCTGACGACGCGGAACATGTAACAGCCTGGTTCGCAGTGGATCACCTGCGTGCACAATGTCGTCGCCGGCCCGGCCGGTTCCCAAGAATGCAAACCTGGGTGAATATAAGGAGCGGCTAAAATAATTTCACAACGAGCGACGCTAAACAGAGAGTGGCCGCCGTCCTGGACACTGATAGACGTTATTTACCTTTGACACTTTTTTCGACCATATATCCAGTCATTGGACAATCGTCCATTCCTTGTGCTGGTTGCCATTTTAATTGCAACGTGGTTCCCTGGGCGTTTACCAGCTCCGGTCGCCCTGGCTCGTCCGGCTTACCTAAAAGGAGAGGTACGAATCCACTCACGAGCTCGTGAAGCCAAGACGCTTTGCCACGAAATGAAATCGGGTATATAGAAACTACTTCACAATAGATAGTAGCGTCAGTTTATTAGGAACAACATGATTCATGGTTGACGTAAATTATGGGGGAGGGGGGTACGGGGGATTTACTCAAGCTCGGACCTCATGCTCATTTTCAAAGCTTTATTTCAAAGCGTGATTAACTTCTAAAGAAAATGAAAATACGACCCAAATTAAAAAAAAGTGGTCGCCATGGTCTGATTTGTGTCCACCTTGTGATTTTTCTGGATTTACGTTCACCTAACTTGATTGCGAATTTTAACCCAGAACTCGCAGTTAGGATTTTTATACTCTACTAGTGGTATACTCCGGTGCCGTCTGGGGAGCGTTTTACGGAAAGAATTTTTAAACTCGATTGTTACACATAGTCATTGTTACGCGATTCATTGTTAACGACAAACCAACCTGTCCGTTACCACGAAAAAGGCGATATTCACTGCCACCGCCGTCACTTTGGCCCTTTGCTTCGACTACACTCAGTTAAAAATGTCCGCTAAGGCACACAAAACCGCGGCGCGCCTGCAGATGTGAATGACAGGCGTACGTGCTATCTGCTCACCACTCGAACCACAACTACTTTTTCTACCCATATTTAAAGTAAAAGGTGCGTCACTACCTGAAACATTACGGTGTTTTTAAACCCGCACTGACATCGCACACTACACGGGTCTCTACCATTTGGCATCCATCAAAATGCGACCACCGTGGCCGGACCACCATCGCGGCGGACTCTCCGAAAAGAAGGGAGTGTGACCTTTTGCTTTTAAATTTCAAACATTTTGACAACGGCGCTTCGAGACTTGGAGACACGGTTGCTACCAAGTAATCTAAGATAGCTTGTTTGTCTACAATGCACAGAATTGATGCAGGGCTCTTTAGATGAAAGGAGTCGCTATTATGCATGCTAAATCCAAGCACGCCATTAATTGCGGAGGCTCTTTTTATTATTTTTGTTTTACTATCCACGCGCCTGAATTCGTTTCGTGGCACACTCCGTCGCAAAGCTGTGAGCAGCCCAGAGATTATTATGGCCACACATGTGAAACATAACAAATTAAATCTTAAAAAAAAAAACCTCTACTGAGGCTTTATGTTAGGACGTGGCATTATCCTTTCAAGAAAAGTCTTCAAGTTGATTAGAACAATTCATACATTAATCCGCAATACCATGAGTCTGAATCGAACCCTTCCTGCCCCATTTCTTTTGTTCCTCATGTTGAACACAAAGATTAACACGACGATTACGTCAAACGAAAACACAATGTAGGTTTCACTTGTGTCCTAATCAAGTTCATTTTTCCAAGCGAGGCCAATATATTGCAAAGGTAAGTTGAATTTCACCTCAAACACTTGTATCAAACCTTGAGGCACACAAGGCATGCTTTTCATACGTCTGTAGTCATAGGCATGCGGCGGGTTCTCAATGGGGGACCGAAGTCTCATCGAAGCGTCCTCCCCACGGAGGAAGGAAAGGTAAGGAGAGGCCCTGACGTCACTCGTTGTGAAGCCGCGATGAAGCCGGAAGTCGGCTATATTGACTAGGCAAATTCTCCTCTGTTGTTTACATGTGAATGCGAAACAGAAGGCGCGACTCCCTCGCTGTCTCAAAAAGCACGTGGAGACCCGCCGCGGTGGTCTAGTGGCTAAGGTACTCGGCTGCTGACCCGCTGGGCGCGGGTTCGAATCCCGGCTGCGGCGGCTGCATTTCTGATGGAGGCGGAAATGTTGTAGGCCCGTGTGCTCAGATTTGGGTGCACGTTAAAGAACCCCAGAAGGTCTAAATTTCCGGAGCCCTCCACTACGGCGTCTCTCATAATCATATATTGGTTTTGGGACGTTAAACCCCACATATCAATCAAAAAGCACGTGGCCTGCGCGCCGCGTGCGTCGGTGCTATGCGAAACCAACGGAACGGATTTCAACACGCTGTCTTGCCGCGATACGGTTGACGAAATCTCTGCGTATAGCTGTTGTATCTCTTGCACTGCCGGCGTTAACGATAAACACGGCAAGTTGCACGTTAAGCTTTTTTTTTTATTTGATGTGTCTTTTGTGAAAATAAAGATTATATTTCGGACATTGCTGCGCGACGAACCAGGCACTGAAATTTGTACAGCTTCTTTCAGATCACTTTTTTCCCCTTTTGCGCTTCTCTTTAGGTTTTTGTGAAATTTTCGATCTCTTCCCTGCAACAAACCCGGAGGTGCGTAATTATGCCAGTAAAGTCAGCGTTGGTGGATCGTGGCAGCCCGTTGAGTTTGCGCCGGCCTCTTTGTTTTCGCCCCTATTTTGTCCGACGCACACTGGTTCCTACGGATATTCCAAAGGCCATGATTTCATTAGGACGAAAGCAGCGATGACCACCCGAAAGTGCGTGGGAACACGTCTCCAGTGTGATTCACGTGCACTAGTAGCTACGCAGAACGGAGACCAGGATCGCGTTAGGTCGAAAGGTGGGAAAGTTAGCCGAAGGAATGCGTGAGAAAAGGTCTGCGGGAAGCTTCGCGCGTCGACACAGCCGCCAAGGACGGCAGGGAAAGCCAGCCAAATGCGAGGGAAGATGTCTCCGGGATAAGTGGCTAGTCATTAAAGGAAAATAAAGAGAAGGCGCTTCTTTCTGTCTTCCTTATCTAAAAAAGAGCTCAGCGCCAACCGCCAACCGGTAACTGTACAGGAACATGAAAAGCAAGATAAGATTACAGTCCTAATAAGGACCTGTGGACCGCAAATTCATCGTCCGTTGTCGTAAGAAGCAACACCGCATAACTGTTACTAACCTGCAAGGCATTCATTGAACAAATTCTTGAGCACAGTCGTTATTTTCTATGATGGCTTTTCAGCATAAATTTGACGGACGCTGCAAATTCAGAGTACGTATACGCGCGTTCGTTCCGTGGTTTCTTGTTCAAACACCTGGTTACAACCACCACCAGAGGAAAATCGCGTAGCTAACAATGCGGCACAAAGAATGGATTTGGTCGAACAGCTGCAGTACGCCACGGTTAGGTGCGAGGCCCATGAAAACGCGCACACCGCCGCTGGACCACCTGAACGCTGCCGCACCGCACTACATCAACAATAACAAAACGCCGCCATTGTGCCAAGTGAATATGACCGCGCGTGACGTAATTTCCGCCACATTTTTTACGCCCTGCGCCGGCTGGGCATGCCCTCTCCTTACCTTTCCTTCCTCCGTGGTCCTCCCCTACCTTCTACCCATTCCCACTGAAAAGTCTCCTCCTCCCAAATTCAACCACTTGTTCGCATGCCTATGTCTGTTATTATAGGAATTTTCCAGCTCTATTTTAGTTGCGGACTGCATTATAACAACTAAAAGCTACATGAGCTATTTTGTGCGGTGCACACGCAGCAACGCACCGGTGACGAGCAGCCGTGTGGAGGCAGTCTCTCGCGTGGCGCCATCCACGAAACGATTGCAGACGTAGAGGCCGGCGTCCAGGGGTCCGCACTCAGCGACCTCTAGGCTGCTCGAGCCGTCGCTGTGCAGCCGCGCTACGCAGCGGTCCGCCAGCGACTGTTCGCGTTCCGAGGCCTCATCTATGGAAGCTCCCATGCGAAAGAGTACAGGTGCCGCGACTCCTGGGGCGCAGGACTTGATGCAGCTGCCGTCGGGCATTCGCCACGAGACAACACCAACCTCCGACGGGAGGGAGGGAAGGTCGAGTTGGCAGCGCAGAACGGCGCGGCTTCCCGGCGCCGCCGCTACCACGTTCGTCGGCTTCATCTGCAGCAAAACACAAGCAATGATTGAAAGCAGCAGCTTGCTTTGAAGCCTGCCTAGTTCGAGTCTTTGAGACTTCAAATCCTGGTTGACTGTCCGTAATCATACCCCTGCAGTACCGTACAGTGACTGTTAACTGTTCTTCCAGTTCTCCACATATTTATTATTTTCACCTTTTTTGCTGTTCACAAATTTTTGGTCGTTAACTGTCTTTAAAAGTTTATGACACTGCTGGCTTATATTTATTCAACTGGAATGAAAGAGCTGCGCCCAGTAAAGGTGCAGCTGGATGCGGAGATGTAGTATGCACACGCGAAATGCACAAAATGGAATACTCGCCTCAGTCAGACTATTTCCTTCAGTCGAGAGAGAATTATCGTCCTGCGACTTTCGTTGTTTCTTGTCAGTCTTGCTAGTCTTCCTCAGCCGCAAGGACCACGGCCTCCTGCACGAGGTACCTCATAACGATTAGAATCATGATTAGCACTCAGTGGCGTACCAACTCTTTCGTGAGTGGGTTTATTTGGACGTTTCGGCCTAGAGTCTGGCCTTCATCAGGATCCTGATGAAGGCCAGATTCTAGGCCGAAACGTCGAAATAAACCACGTTGTGACCGCTCGCGGAGGATCTACTTGACTATATGCAACGCTACGGCCACTCAACCACTATGCCTGCAATAATATATATATATATATATATATATATATATATATATATATATATATATATATATATATATATATATATATATATATATTTATTTATATACCGCTCGCACTTAGATATGAGTTTGCCTATACAGAGGTGACACGACTCGCTATCTTAGATACCACGAAGTTCAATCAATCTTTAACAGGCTGAAGAATGGCGCCCTTAGCCATATTTCCGCGTCCAAAACGATTCGTCACACTCATCGGCTCGCAACAGTTTCGACAGAGCAGTGGTGACAATATTTCCTTTATGAAGAAAATTATTTTCAGGAAGCGGCAAATGCTTTGACCGGTCTTTAAAAAGTTTGCTCGTTCCCATCCATAACTTCATCAACAAGTCACAACAGAATAAAAGCATCAACAAGTGATGTGATATTATAGGGCCTCTGTTCAGCGGTTGCCTGCTCTGCAATACTACAGCACAAGGCGTGAAGTCGTCGCATAGGTGACCCTTACCGCAAATTTTAAGAGCCCACAAGGAAAATTATCACAGAGAAAACGTTGGAAAAATTTCACTACGTTGTTCAATGCCTCGTAACATTTTCATTCACCCATAAGAACATATTTGAATGAGTACTCTTGTTATGGGAAACTTCACCTTACTTGTTGGTTTCCCCAGCGTGCACCAAGAGTGACCCCTATAAACAGTGGAAAGGCTCAGCCCCCCCCTCCCATCTTTTCTCAGTGGGAGGGCTCGCGCCCCCCTTGCCCCACCCCTGGGCTGATACGCCTATGTTAGCACTCCACATCTGCGTATCCTTTGAGCCACACCAAAATCCCAGTAGAGACTCATTCATTAGCTAAACTGCCAACCATTATTAATAGTACGATTCATCGGGAAAGTTGGTGTCACGTAAATTTCAGAGAAAGTAAGTCAAGCTAGTCTAACGGACAGAGATCCACGATGAAGTACACACGCAAACTAGTGTCACGTCGCATATATGGCTTTTTCGCCACTGCCAGGAATACCACTTCCACGCATCCAAATGTAAGGTCATGCGGCAAAGTTATTGGCCACGCAAAAAGGTTATGAGTATAGTGTCTAACCGTTATATCTGAGGAAAAAAAGACTGATTTTGTGGGTTTTTAGAGGACTCCAAACGACCCAGAAGTATAGATTTATTTGTGTTGCTGTTTGGCATGAATATGCCACAAGAACTTTTCGAAATAGTGTCGTAACAGTGGACATGACATAACAAACAACCTTACTGTGGTCCTCAGAGGCGAGGTAGCGAGCCAATAAGGCAGGTCCCCACCCAGCCGTTGGCTATAGTCCCATGTCGGATCAGAGAGGCCATGCCTCTCCCGCACATTTACGGGCCCTCTGGACAGCCTAAAGCTGGACGTCTTGTCTGGGGTCTGCGATTGCCTTCATCTAGTCTTCTTCTCTTTTAAAGCCCTGCAATACAGTGTGCACTGACAGAGAATGTCACTCAACAATATTGACCACATTCTAGGCAAAGTGACTCAATTTTTAGATGAAGCATGCTCAGAAAGCCTCTAGAGGAGTAAGACCCAGTCTGGAGCATGCGGAGCGTGATTGTTTGTGATCTGTGGAGCGAAATTGCGAAACGCGGCCTTCGCTCGTTTCGCTCCGATCAACACCCCGAAGACCACGGCTGGCCTCTCCTGGTCGTGTGCCGAGCTACACGACGAGGAAGAGCAGTGAGTGTGCGAGCCTGCTGTCAAGCAAACAGGTCCCTGTTTTGAACTAGAGAACCAAGACGGGCTATTTAATGGTTGACATTTATCGCAGACTTTTTAACTGCGTGAACAAACACGGTTCGCTCGCTGGTTGTTAGTGCAGTTAAAAGCTTCAAAGGGATGATGTTTTAGGGGCGAAGACCCTTAAGGCGTGGGTCTGTCCACCCTCCGTCGTTTCGTACGTAGCCACCAGGATGCGAGATGGCGGTACTTGGAGTGTTCACTAGATGGATGCACGGACGGACGCACGGACGGACGAACAGACAGACTAGCAGACGGACGGATGGATGGACGGACGCGCGGAGCGGGTATGTGTCACAGGGGGTGCGTGATGCGAGATGGCGGTACTTGAGCGCTTACTAGATGGACGCATGGACGGGCGGATAGACAGGCTGGAAAACAGACGGACAAATGGACGGACGCGCAGACTTACGTACGGATAGACGCATGGACAGACGGACGGACGCATGAATGGACACACGGATGGTCACGTGGACGGACGGAAGCAAGAACGAACGGATGGACGGAAGCATGGACAAGCTGACGGATGCTTCGCCCCACTCATCATCATTCTCTCCGTGGATATGCTGTGATTTTTTTTACAACAATCAACGTTTCCGAGAAGCATTAACCAATGCCGTTTAAATGAAAGCCTGTTTTGCTTTACTGTCATTATTACCTATCATATTTATTTCGCTTTGTGTATGTATATACCCCCCTCTTTAATGTATTTGTTCGCGAGGGGTAAAATAGATTAAACAAATAAATAAATAAATAAATAAATAGCAGCTGTTTTGTCCACGGGTACAAGCGATGAGGGAAGCTCCTACCCTGTAATGCCCAGACGCCGTCTTTGGCAATTTGTGGCTGTGCTTGTTTCACCAACACCTCAGCCGAAGCAGTGCAGACCGGTAGCCATAAACATCATAGACATTTTCGCTTTTGGCTAGTACTGAAATACACCGTGAGGGGCCACACGTCCACAACAAATATGGCAGCATTCAGCTGGAGCAAACCATAAAGTTTCTCACAATACTTACTAGAGAAAACTCTGGCGCTAGTGTCTACGGGAGCTGCAACGCATGGCGCTTCAGCGAGCATGGAAATGATGGGTAGTACACACATTTGTCTAATATTAGTGCATCTGGCCTGCTTTTGGCTCCGTGTGTGTTCGTGTGGCTGGAGCTGTTTTTTACGAAACAAGTATTGGCAAATGTTCAGCGGTTGCGCTTCACCATTTCATTTTTTTAAACTTACTTTTCAGATTGGCTCACGAAGTTAAAAGGGTTCAATCTTTCTTTCAAAACAAAACCGAAACACAGCAATAAACGGAGCCGCAAGTACGATTCACCGCCCGCAAGTACGAAGACTAGGCAAATGTGTGTACTACCCATCATTCCCATGGTCGCTGAACGATCGCAGCGCCAGAGTGCCCTCTAGTTAATCTTGAGAAACTCTATGGAGCCAACGTTTCTAGAACTAGGTCTAGAAACGTTGGCTAGAGTGGCATGGCGATTTCACCAAGGACATTTTATCCCCGTTCTGCAAAAAGAAGGTAATTATTTCGATCTTTTACCTGATTTGTGTTCTAGAATTTTTGCTGGTGCGGTTAAGTTAGTTTTATTTGGTGTAGTCATGCTTAAAAGTGTTCTGACGGGAACATGTTTTCAGCGTATCATATATGACACAGTGGGCATTCATTGTAAACTTCACCGTCCATATCATATATGATACGAGTTACGATTAACTACAAATATATCTAATATAACTTCTTTTTCTTCTTCCAGGCTCGAGGATATCATAGCCTGCATCCCTTCGGGTGACGACAGCGACTGACTGACGACGATGAATACATTCCAAACAATGCACCCACGCTTGCTACAGATGATCCTTCTGACATCTCTGATCAGTCCTCAAAAGAGGATGAAGACGATGTGAGCAGCTCGCAGTGCGGCACTGGATCCGTGGACAGGGGTCACTGGAGGAAGCGCTTGATGGATTGTTACCTCCCTACTTTTACATGCACATCCACGCCGCATCCGAAGTACGTTCTCTATTGTCTTACTTCAGACAGTTTGTAACCCCATGAATGATGAGCGAAGTAGTTCTCGAGACCAACCTGTACAGTACTCCGACGACTGGAAAATCCCTGAATATCACGGAGAGCGAGCTTGACCAATTCGTAGGTCTCCAAATCCAAGGGACTCGTGCAGATGCCCAGCGTTCACAGCTATTGGGAACATGGGACGCCGTTTCCTCCCATTGTGTACATAACGCCACGAAACCGATTTGCGAAAATTATGCACCTTTTGCACTTCACAGACAACAACAAAGCCAACGACAAAGCAAAAAAGGCAGTGATGCTACTTAGGAACCATAATTTGGAGCAATTTTCGGAGCACAAAAACTTAGAATTTGGAGCATTTTGGAGCACCGAAAAGTCAATTTCGGAGCAGTTTGGAGCAACCGGTATCAGTTTTCAAGGTTGTCCAATACGGCGAGAAATGCATAGCTGCAGCAAAACAATTTTTTACAATATTCTGAGAAACCTTGTTTGGAACTCATTTTGGAATTTTCATCATGGCTTTGAAGTAAGCACGCGAGAAATTTGAGGGGTGCTTGCCTAAGGCACCCCTCAAATTTCCGTGCACCGTGCTGGCACCGTGCTGTCAACTCGTTTATTTGAACGAAGAACATACATGTACTCATGACGTCAGACATTTGTTTCACATTTTTTGAAGCTTTTCATTTATGCTTGCCAGCATTTGCATATTTTGGGTGAGGCTCGTATTTGCCTCAGCCAGGAGTACCTGGCCACTTTCAATTTCTTCCATATCATTGCCAGCGAGGCCTTTCTTGATCAGTCCTTGTGCACGCTGGAGCATTGCTTTTGACGACTCTAGACGCTTTTCTACACACTGTTTTTCTTCATCCAGCTTGGCCCTTTTCTCCTGAAGTGAACTTCTGGCCACAGGTGCCTTTCCATGTCATTGGCCTCCCGTTGAAGACGTTCTGTGTACTTCCTGTGCGAATGCTTCACAGCGTTAATGAGGTCCCTCGTAACTGGTACTTTTGAAGGGTCACTGGCAAAGCGCTTCACATAGCTCTTGACATGCCGAATGCCGTTCAGAGACACAATGCCTAAATTCCACGATGCACTGTCCACGATGCGCTTATTCTCGCTAAACCCACGTTCGCAGTCGGCGTTTCTATGTGGAAGGGAAAACATGGCTTGTACAAACACTGACACGAGAGGGTACTTTCCTGAAGCTAACACTGAAGCCCAATAGCCATCGATGCCGGGGGCGGAGAGATGAGCACCTGCACTTATAGGCTGCCTGTGAAGGCAATGCCACTGGTCAACAAGTGATGCCACATGCTCACCCTTTATCATGTGGGGCACGCTTGCAGCCACGTACTAGATAGACTGAACAGTCTCTTCTACAGGTAAATAACATCTAGGATCTAAAAAGCGCCAGTGGTAGAGCAGTTTGTTATCTAGAGGAAGCCGCTTGATTAGATGTCTCACAGTAGAAATGTAAAATGCCTGTGCACTAGTACTGAAGCTCTTATTCTCTTGGGGATCCCAATTACGCATTTCTTTTTCAGTGTCGGATCTGATTTTCAAAACTTGCTTCAGCCCTTCTGGTGACGCGACATCAAGTTGTTTCAACTCACTGCCAGACAAGTTGCAATAGGCCTCATGCCTCATAAAGCGGCTCAGCAGCTTTTTTTACTAGCCCAATGCACCCCGAGTGTACAATGTAAACAAGGGGCTCTTCTTTTTGGAAAACGGTTTGAAATTCAGAGAAGAGCTCTGCAGAGTTGCGTAAGAACAGCATCTTGGCGAGAATCGTCTTATCTGAAAGTGCAGATGCTAGTCGTTTCTGCAGTACAGCGCTTGTTGGCCTGGCGTCGGCTTGAGTTTGAAAGAACGCTTTCAACACTTCAAACTGCTGCAACACTCTTTCAAGGCTAGACTGAAATGTAAGCCACCTGTTACTGACATGCCGAAGAAAGACGTGCTCGGGGATCCCAAGGTCTTTCTGTTTCTCTGAAAGCTGTGATGAGTGAACGGCATGCTTAAAAAAGTAATAAATGTCCATCACTAGCAGCTCCGCATCATATCCAAATGAATTCAGTCCAGTGCCGAATGCATTATGTACTTTGTGAAGACTACACTCTCCGATGTCTAGAAGGTTGGGGTTGAGCATCTCCTTCAGTTTCTTCTTCACGCTTTTCATGGTGTTAGGGCCATCACTGAAGAAGCATAGCAGCTTCTCCTTTGGTAGCTCTGTCAGGCCTTTTTCAATGCAGTCCACCAAGATACTTGCTGTCGCACGACCAAGGTTAAATGACTCTAGGTGTTGAACAACAACTTTTTGTTGTGTTTTAGAGAAATATCGCACAAGGATGTCCAGTTGTTTAACATGTTGGCTTGCTTTGGGCGTTTCATCAACTTCAATCGAGCAGTACACATCTGGCCCCTATCTCTTTTTTTCTGAACAGCGGACCCAGTCCATCAGAGATGATGTAGGACGCTTTAGTCCTGCCGCAAGAGAACTTTTCAGCAAATTTGGAATCTGAAAACATCACAGGGAACATCCTAGGTGCAGTACCTGCAAATGAAAATGGCACTCCTTTCACAGTTAAGGACATAGCGAACAAAGCCTCCACCTGGGTCACACTGTCGCTTATGGTAGTGGTCGCTGCTCCTCCAGAGAAAGAAGTTGGTTTGGCCAATTTTGGCTTCACAAACTTTCCTTCTGCATCACAGAACTTCATCCTTGACTTCAGGTGCATTTTCGAAAAAGCATGTCTCCTGGCAGCTGATGTGCCAAGCTGTGCGCACGAAATTACTACGTCGCAAATGACACAGTTTGCTTCCCAACTTTGTTGACCACCTCGGCACCATGTCTTTATGCTGTCCCCATTGCTGTCAACATCTTCCAGCACCGATGCATTAAAGCTGGTAGTCCGAGCTGTGGAAAAGAGAGAACATATGGAAGATTAAAACACAAATCCGACGCCGAAACAAGAAATGCTCACTTAAAAAATTAAGGCCCTGTCATTCGCACCATGCACAAATCTAGGTCCGGCATGAGCCGATCATGTAACAACAGTACAGGCGCCCTACGTGTCAGCCAGCCAACATCTAACAGCATTTATCAAGCACAGACGGCCTGCTTGTCGGCGCATTATCACGGCGCGGAGAAGGCGAAACTATAGCGACAAATGCCACATGCGGGCGAAGTTGCCGTCACCACGAGCACAACGTCAGCGCGCGCAATCTCTGCTCTGCGCAACAATGACGCGCAACTCCATAGATAGACTTGCTACAAAATGTTTATCTTTACGCGAAGCTGCCTGCTCAAGGTCAGTCGTGCAAGCACAGAATGCAACTACGCGTGTCATCGGGCATATCGCATTGCCGCTCAGTGCTCCTGAATACAATTGGAACATAAATGCGTCATTCCCACGAAAGCAGCCTTTTCCCACGAAACCGGCCTTTTAGGGTTAACGATGGCCACAAAAATATTAGCGGCAGTCGCTAGAGCATTTATTTAGGAATATCTGCACCATACAATTGCATATTTTTCACATATAAGATCCGGATCAAGATCTGAAAGCGAAAAAAGGCTTTACCGTGTTTAGCGCGCAAATAGACGGTGCTTTTTTGCGCGCTGCGGTCCAAGCAGTACCAACTTCGCCACGCTCACACGCCACACTTGAGAGAAAATGTCAATAACAGGAACTTACTTTTCTTCATCGCATCATATCCCACCGCTGACGGCACGCGCGCGTAGTAGTAATGAAGAGTCATCCAACAGTCGTTGGTGCTGGCGAGCCGAGGCAGCAGCAATCGATTCACCAGCGCACTGCCCGCTTCACTTCAGGAGTTGCAGCAGCACTATCTCCGCTATCACTCAATCCGTACTGCGCATGTTGCCGCTAGATGTCCTCCACTGCACTTCTCATAGTTTTATCGTTGCCATGAAGGAATGGGTGCCCTCAGACCCCGTTGTAGGCTGTGCTGGCGGCGCTGGCTGACACCACCAAGGCCCGCGAGAGCCATTCAGCGCATTTTGGCGCAATTTTCGAGATATTTATCAGAATTGCGCAGGCATTGTCGTTTGGATCAGTTTGGCGCATTTGGCGCGGGAATGCAATCACCAAAAAAGAAAAAGTATGGAAAATTCGTCCGTGCTTAGATGAGCTTCAACGCAAATTTCTGACTGTAGAACCCGAACATTTAAACAGCGTTGACGAAGTGATGATCTCCTTTACGGGAAGATGCCCAATGAAGCAGTACATGGCCCCAAAACCACACCCTTGGGACATAAAACTGTGGGTGCGGGCTGGTTCATTTGGCTTCCTTTATCAGTTTGATGTCTACCAAGGACAAGCAAAGAAAAATTACGAGTGTGGTTTAGGCGGCGACGTTACGCTAAAGTGTGCCAGGTGTTGCCGGAGAAAGGGGATACAAAGTAGCAGCAGATAACTACTTCTCCTCTCTTGACCTGGCTGCTGAGCTGTCAAAGAGAAGCTTGGGATTTGTTGGGACGCTAAGAAGCAACGGACTGAAGGACTGCAAACTGAAATCGGAAAGTGACCTAAAAAAAGAAGGCCGTGGTGCCTTCGACTACGCTGTTGACTCTACGCGGAATATATCAGTAGTGAGGTGGCACAACAGAGCTGTCACCATTGTCTCAAACTACGTATCCACTGAGCCAATTGGCTCTGTAAGAAGATGGGATAGGAAGGAGGAAAAGTATATTCATGTTCCGCAGCCAGCTGCAGTAAAGATCTGCAACTCCTTCATGGGAAGTGCTGATCTATTGAATTACTTGGAGCTGTACAAGTTTAGATTGAAATCTAGAAGATGGTACATGTACATTTTTAATCATACTCTCATGATGAGTACAGTGGACGCCTGGCTTCTCTACAGGCGCCACTGCAACAGCCTCAATGAAAAGTGTGAACCTCCGACAATTCCAGGCCAGTATAGCCTGATGCCTAATTTCAGTGGGCAAAAAACCAGTTTATAAAAAATATAAAAAGTTTCATAGCGTATCACTTGACGGCACGTATGCTGAGCAGATATGCGAACTCCTTTTTTGTGAGATATCTCGATGCCTCACGGACGCATGCGTCATACATTCATTTAGCATGGAAGGCCTCTATCGCTTCCCTGGTTATCTAGGATGTATGCTTCGACAAAAATTCTGTGTCGGCAAAGATAGGTGAACAGCTACACGTGTTGCAGTGCGCTTCCAGGTGCGAAGCGTTCGGATTCTTGAGGATATTCCTGTGCTCCCTTAAACGCACAATAATGCATCGGCCATTCCGCTTAACCTATGACGTACTGCCAACATGTAAGAGCAAAGCCACAAACAAAAAAGTGACTGGAAATTAATCGAATTAATCATATTGATATTGCAAATCTTGGCAGACGTGATCGTGAGCGCCAAGTGCATGCCTTGCACTTGTCAGCTCGCAATGGTCAAACCTGGTGAGGGGCCATTTAGGGCGTTCACATACAGAGGAGAAATTGACCCTGCGTCATTAGAGACCCGGCCAATACGAGACTAAAAGACCCTCTTGGCTTTGTAGCGCTCTAGATGTTTGTTTCTATGCTGCTCCTCTGAGCCACGATTAAAAGAAAGAATCAAAGAGCGTGTTTATTCGATGGTGGATTCTTATGGTGAACTCCATTGGGAGAGCAGGAGCACTCAAGAGCACGCTTAAAGGGCTCTCTTCAGAGCCGACATGTTTCAGTGGTCAAACAGGTGCAGGAGAACTGTCATCCATTGGTAGAGCGAGAGGAGCAGTTTGCAGTGCTCGCGCCTGAAAAGCGGAGTAGGTGCAGTACGATGAGTCACGTGGTTCTTGAACGTCACAGCCTCCAAATTTTTCTTCAGCCGACGAGTGCAGTGGCAATGGTAGCAACCATGTGTAGTTTGACACCGCTGTTTTGTACGCGTGGCCACGATGAGAGCTCGACGTTTGCCGCATGAGTCATTGCTCAAGCATACTAGGTATTAGCATAATGAAGAATATGTGGCTGACCGATTTCTCGCATATTTTGCTGCTGCCCCACAAAGAATATGCTGGGCTTGGGCTGTTTCAGTCACATGGTCTCATTACTCACCTGCCCTCCGGGAGCGCGACGCATTCCAGTGGCCCTGCTCTCAGAGCTCTGCCCCCCACTCCTCAGCGCCCTGCCCCTCTACTCATGCTCTCTCAATGAAATTCGCCATTAGCTCACCATGCTGGGTAAAAAAAGGGTAGACTGTGTACCCCATTAAGGTGAAGCAAAAAAGGGCAACTTCGCATGGCTATGTTAAACCATTGGTGCCTTTGTGGCATCATAAGCTAGATCTTTTTTGAACACGACAGTCTTTCTTGGGGACTTTCGACACAAAAATTTTGGTCTGTCTGTCTGTACATTTGTCTGTTTGTGCACTCTTAACAGCATCGGGTACTTGAAATGGCCCACTCCATCCACAGCGCCCACCAATGTTGCTTAAGGTTACGCGTTCATATTTGTGCAATTTTCCATTAAACAGCGATTATTGCACATGTCTGGGGCACCACAACAACACGTATATATTCTGCATGTGCACCTTTTACTAGAAAAGGCATACATAGGTAACTACTTCATAGGAATAATGCTTCATTCCTTCCCATATTGCCTATGCTACAGACCACAAACAAGCTAAAGAGTATGTTTGAAACACCTAAAAATGATTCAGTTTGAATGTGTGAGATCAAGTACACTCACATTTTTATATACATAGTGATTATCCTGCCCCCCTCTCTCCTGATTTCCTCAAAATAAAATCTCAGCTATGTCAAAACATGAGCTTTTAAGTACTAAGCCTGACAAATCATGGGAATGGTAACTTATTGCACTGAAAGCAACCTCAAGTGGGTCATTGAGGATGGCACTGTGCACGTCATGCTGATGCTAGTCAGCATGCACGTTGTGAGATGCCTTCTTCACAACTTATTTGCCCATTCATTATTTGTAGTAATACCATATGTATACATAAATAATTCTAAGGACCATAGTGTTTATCATGTTGCACTGACCATGCAACGCTTGCACGAACACGCGAGTGTTTTCAACGCTTTGCTAAAACGAGACGGTGGTGGCACCTACCTGTCACCTTGCGTTCTACACTTTATCACCTCTGAGATGGGCACGCACACCTGTCTCAGAGCCCCGCGCTCTGTTTTCCAAGAAAACTGCCAGATGGCGCTAATGTCTCATGCGTCACGTGACTTGATGCGCACGTTCGCCTCCGCTGCACGCTTGAGCCACTCTAACGCAGCGCCTCCAGAATGCCATTCACCGATTATTTTGCCCAGAACATCAAATAAATGTTTTGTTCACTCTCTCCACACACAAGGCTATCATCTTTTGACGACATTTGCAGATTACATGCAGATACGGGGCCATTTTCTTCTGTTTTCTTTCATTGACACAGGTTGCGCAAATCAATCTTCGAACATGTTAATATTTTTGAAAATTTTTTGTGCCTATATTTATGATAAAGGGGGCCTAAAAATGTGTTTTGCTGCCTATTTTCAGCACCTAAGATGCAATTATTAGTGCCTGAAATACCGCGTCTAGTAATGACATTGGCCTTGATAATACATAAATGATCATCCCCGACATATAGAAAAGCATTTCAGTATCTGTATTGCTGTATCTGTATTTCGGAATACTTTTCTCGTTTTTTTTTTTTGCAAAAGTATCTCTGAGATATTGCGTTACGTGAATTACAAATATATATCAGTATCTGTACTTTAGGCTTCCAAAACGTGTATTTCGATATCTGTATTCCCGAATACTTTTTCGGGTATCTCTGCCCAGCCCAGGCTCCAGGATTTCGCCGGCCGCTCGGGATCTACCAGTGGAATGCGCCATAAATACATTGGTCTAAACTCTCCCTACAAATTTTAACTGGTACAGTATTTCGGAACAGTACAATATCTTCGAAAGCATTGGTATCTCCGACAGACGTTAAGCAAGTAGACAGAAGGATGCAGACTGGCGGCGCATAACATTTAGACCAAACTCGAATAAGGCTTGGTTTTTTGGTGACCTGACCACAGACGTGACATAGCTATGCGAGAATCTGTTCAATAAAAGCAATAAGGTTTATATTTTATCACCATCATCAGCATTTTTGTGAACACTTCGAATGCGCATGTTTTATCGCTGCAACCTGGGACTGATTATACGGACGTTTGGAAGATTTCGAATGTGTTAGCCTGTTACACCGGAACATTTTTATCATTGCGCTGTACCGCCCACCTCAAGGTAACACAGAAGCCTTTCTTCAGTTTATTGAGACATGTTTAGAAAATGCTAATTAAAATAAATGGCGTGTTATTGCGCTTGGTGATTTCAATATTGGTGTTATGGGTAGCTCTCTGATTCAAGCGGCCTTAACTGAAATAATGCTACTGTACGGCTGTACAAATACGATTGAGTCCCCAACACGAGTAAACAAATCGACAGCAACAATAATAGATCTCTGCTACACGAACTTTTCTCGGGACGCGGTTTTTTCCGGAGTGTTTTCGTCTTGTGTGAGTGACCACTTGCCGTTCTTTGTATTTGTCCCTTTAAGTAAAAAAAAACTACCCCTATCCATTCACGTAGAACGAATGATTCCAATAATATCGCTGTTTTCTGTGAGTTACTGAAAAGAACCGATTGGACAGACGTCTACAATGCAACCGATCAAAATGAAGCGTACGAAAATTTCATTATAAAGGTTATTAACCATTACAATTTTGCTTTTCCTGTTATGGCTATTAGAAAACACAGAAAGGCCCGTAAAGATTGGAAAAACAAGGCT